GAAAAGATTAGAGCAACGGTATGCTATCCTCTTGGGAAGATCGGTGAACAAGCAGGAAAGAGCCAGGTGATTGATCGTTTGCTGGTGGCACTAGTTGATCCGGATGACCAGGTTCGTTGGAGTACATCTCGTGCTCTTGGAGCGATGGGTGAAAAAGCAGCAACGAATCAGGTGACTGATGGGTTGGTGGTGGCACTAGGTGATCAGAATGGGTGCGTTCGAATGAATGCATGTAGTGCTCTTGGAGCCATGGGCGAAAAAGCAGCAACGAGTCAGGTGATTGATGCGTTGGTGGTGGCACTAGGTGATCAGAATGAGTGGGCTCGAACGAATGTATGTTGTGCTCTTGGAAAGATGGGCAAAAAAGCATCATCGAGCCAGGTGATTGATCGCTTGATGGTGACCCTTGGCGATCAGAAGGTGGTTGTTCGACGGAGTGCATGCAGTGCTCTTGAGAAGATGGGGGGAAAAGCAGCAACGAGGCAGGTGATTGGTCGGTTGGTGGTGGCACTGAGTGATCTGGATGAGGAGGTTCGAAGGAGTGCATGTGGTGCTCTTGAGAAGATGAGCGAAGAAGCAGGAACGAGCCAGGTGATTGATCGGTTGGTGGTGGCACTTGGTGGTCTCGCTGAAGGTATTCCAAGTACCGATCTGAACGACGCGAGTACGCTTCTTAGATTGTTGTCGTATGCCCTGCAGTGGCTTGCTGATGCCGACGCGAGAGAGGCTGAGTTGATGCAGAAATTGAGTTTTTCTGATGGGATTGATGGAGTGTCCTTGAAGCTTTTTCAGTTACTGGTTAATACGCATGATTGGCGTTGGGTTGCCATATTCGTAGAGTATTGTCTAATGTAGGAAACTGCGGTCAGGGTTATCGGTGACAGAGTGATTATGCATTTTGATTGGGGGCGGTGGAGGCACGAATCAGAAACTTGGAGCTCCTATCTAGGCTTCGCAATAATTTTGGTGCTTTCGGTTTAAAAGTGTTCGATTGCCGCCCACGAAATGGTAGAATAACATGTAGGAAACGAAAATTGGAGTGTTCTTGACGAAGCTGAATTGGAATAATGGAGATTCTTTACTTCTTCGGATATTTGTGTTTTGATTACCCAGGATTGTTCGCCTGGATAAGGATGTTGGTGTGAGTCGTGTGTGAATGTGAGCTTTGGTTTTTCAATGATATTTGGGTGTGAAGAGCAAACGCTACTGATTGTATTTCATAATTACATGAATGATTAAGTGGGTTGTATTAGAGCCCAATGAGCTGAAGATCAGTTCAAAATACAGATGAATTTCTACTGTATTGTGTGTGTGTGCATTTACTAAATTGATTTCAATCTCGATACAATGCCTTCCGACTGCTGTTCAGACAGTCATCAGCGGGTAGGTTCAAAAATATTAAATAGGAGAATAGTCGAAATCACTATTCGTCGTCTTTTGTATATTGGGAAGTGTATTGGACAATACATGGTGAAGATTACTCTTATTTTAATTTAACAGGGAGGTCTACATATGTATAATGGTAATTGGAAGTCTCAGTTCTTTGCTATAAGTAAGAGTTCTATATATCTTCCGAATAGAATAAATTTCAGTCGATTGTAGTGTATCTTATTCGTTGGATGTGGCAACTGATGATGCTTTCAACGCATGTACTTATCTAACAGTCAGTTAACTATGCTATACATCAGATGTCTATAAGCTTTACTTTTGTCTCGATTCATATTTAAAATAGAATAGTGCTACCATTTTCCATTACTTGAAGAAGTTATACAGATTGGTTAAAATTCGAATGATTCCTTTAGGCATCCATTTACTGCAATATCTAAAAATATAGCAATCCATATCTAAATTATATCAATATTGCCTAACTTAATACAGCAGTATCCATTCTGGTGAAAGGATACCTTTAAAAAAATTGTTTAATCTAATTTTGTAATTCAACACCTTTTAAATCAATTAAATATCTGAATTAAAAAAGGTTCTGTCTTTTAATTCAATTAAATATCTGAAATTAACAAAATGTTAATTGGTGTGATTTTGATATTATGAAAAATGAACAATTATCATTTTGGGAATGTGAATTTTTAAATGAAAGTGAAAATTAGACAAAAAGTACATGTTCTTGTCCAGCTTGTCTAAAGTATTATATTTGTAAACACATTATAGGCTTAGCAGCACGATAAAAATTATGCAGCATCCCATTGGAAGCTAAAAATATTCCATTGGGACAAAAAAGAAAACGAGGTCGTGTTGCTAAAGCTAAAAAAAGCATTAATTGTGCAATAGTTTTCTCTTTCTGCTGTGTTTTTTTGTTATAATTGATAATTGTATCTTTATTTTTTTTTCTATTAAATTAATTATTAATTTGATATAACTTTGTGTTGTTAGATAGTGTTATTTAATAAATTAGATATAAATCCATCTTATATTAGATATAAATTTATTTTACAATTAGATATATTATTTTCTAAATTAGATATAAATTCATCGTATATTAGATATAAATTTATTTTAAAATTAGATATGGATTGCTATATTTTTAGGTACGAGTTTATATTTATCCCTTTGTTTACTTGAATCATATGTAGCTAACATGTTTTTCATCCATTCTGATCATTAAATGTTTGCTATTTTGCCTGATAGATAAAACGATCTCGTCATACTTTTTTTCTTCATTTTAAAAATAAGATTTCTCTTTTACACAATGTCACATACACAACAATTAAGAATTAAATATGCAAGGATAAGACAAATATATAATCATTATTTCTGATCGAAATTATTATCGTTCAAAAATTGATGTTTTTCCTTTACCAATATTTCGTTTTTCTCGTCTCTTACGACAGTTAAACATTGAAATAACATAAGCTCGTAAACTTGGATTCATAAAACAATAAATAATTGGATTTAATGCATGAGTACATAGGTATAAATAGTAAATCATTATAGGACTTTTTATAATACGTTCAGCATTTAAAATAGATGGTAAATAGAAAAGAACGAATGATACTGTTATAATTAAAAATGTTGATGCCATGCGTATTTGTTTTATACGATGTTGATGTAATTGTCGGCGTAATGCATCACTATGTGACAATCCTGTGCGATTAGTCGGAGTAGTTGAAATTGATCCTTTCGCTATTTCATCATGACCATGAATTTCAATTGATTCATGTTGAGTTAATGATAATTGTTTTTTTGTACAACAGCAACGGCATAACCATTTTCTTAATTGTGATGATGATCGTGAAAAATGAAATTTTATTAACAATTGACGGGTTGTTGAACATGGACATGGTAATTTATAATACATATCAGTATTCACATCTAACTCATTATCAAAATAATTAGGTGCAGTTGATAAATTTTGATTTAATTCTCTATTTAATGTAGTTGGAGAATTTTCAATTTGAAATGATACTTGTTTAGAACCAATTGTTTTTTCCGGAGAAGGATGCAGCTCTTCTGATATACCATCTGATGTACTAGTATCATGTTCTTCTTGTGTTTTTCTATTTATCTTCGTTGGTTTTCTTATTAAAATCGGTGAAAAATGATTTGGATCTTCATTATCGTGGCGATTAATAAAATTCGACATTTCATATTTTGTTTCTTCAACTTTAGTGGAAGAATTAATTAATGTTTGTTGTGATAATAAATTATCATCGGAATGATCAAATTCATTTAATACGTTTGTCCTTATTCTAGGCGATAAATTCGTTATTCTTGTTGTTACAGATGAAGTCAATAGAGGTTGAACTGGAACAATAGAATCAGTTGTTCGTTGATTAGATATCGCTGATGGATATGAATCAAATTTAATTAAAACATTTAAACTCTTTTTTAATGCACGTATACGTGGATTTTGTCGGTGCAAGGCAAGTACAAATGTTATTGTGTAAAAAATTGTAACTATACCAATTAAAGTAAAAAATACTTTATTTGATACATGTTTTAATAAATCACGTAAAATTTCTGATATAATCGACGTATCAGCAAAACATCGTTTAGACATTGATCTATATTCTAAAGTAAGATTTGTTATATTAGCACCATCGGGTATAGAAAGTTGTTCAGTAACTAGATTAATTATATCTGCTATTAGATCCAAATTTTGATCGGGATTTAGAGAAATTTCTTCGTTATAAAGTGCTATATTTGATTCATTTCCTAAAATTAAATTGAAATTAGTATAATAATTTTTTTTAACAGGTTGAGTTGAAAATGCTAATGCAGTTAATGTGCCAAGTCCAATGCCTATTGAGATAAATAGTGTGAGTATAACCTAAAAAGGAAAAAAGTTAAGATTTTGTAAAACTCTCGCTTTTTGTTTATATTAAACTTAGCATATGGTAATTTTTACTTCATATTTCGAAAGGAACATCAACAGATTTTTATATGAACGTGAAGGAGTAAAATGTTTCTATGGTTAGTTTCGAATTTTGAATTCTGATGATTGCTCGACTGAACGAATAATTACGATGTTTTTAAAAGAAAATCATGGAGCATAATAGTTCATTATCACATTTTTATTATTATTGTAACTATTCCGAAGCGAAAAAAATACATTCTATCATAGTGACACTGTTGTCTAAAGTTGGAAGAAAATTTGATAGGTTGTTTAAATATTCAAATTTACTTGTTTCGATTCTTTAAGGTAAAGTACTTTTATGACTATTGTTTTCTTTTTGAATTGATAATTTGAGGTCTTTTAAATACTCAACGCGAGGCTAGTCATGTTCATTTCTATTTTAGTAACTCGTTAGTAATGCATTCAATTCATTGTACTCAAATTAAAGTACACATTATTTGTGATCTTAGAAGGAAAATATTTCTTATTGAATCATCACAAGCAATCAATTATGCATTAGTAGACTTCCTGATTGCTTCCTGAATAGGAAAAATTGGGGGAAATGCATTTCTAATTTCAATGAAACATTAACAGCGTAGTATGAAAGGTGCAAATTAAGTTAGAGGTAAGCTACTCATAAAATATCTAATTTTATTTCTATGTTGTCTGGCTAAGAAATCTATGATAGTAATGACTGTATATGAATGGAACCTTATCGAGGAGTTAGAAATAAAAAGTTCAACGGTATCCGTCTTTCACAATAAATCTTAGAAAAGGAAGTATTATCTACTTGAAAAACTCTAATAGTAAGTTTGATATTCTGATTCGTTTCAGTTCAATCGAATTTTTCGATATTGTTGCAGATGCTATCAAAAGTTCAGGCTAAACTCTAACAAATACAGATTTGAAAAAATTGAAGCATGAGTGCATATGCTATTATATCTTGAAAATATTCTTTGAAAGTCACATCTTGAAAAGTTCTCTCTAAATTGTGTTGGAGTCTACATATCTACCTGATTTTGGTACTCCCACGCAAAAAAGATTCGAACACACTATCATATCATGTAGACATAGATCAAAAGACTATTTCAGAGTCATACTAACAAGATAAAAGTTCCTAGAATATTATATAGCATGAACAAGTATAACCATATTCTAGTACTGGAAAAACATGCTTAACCTATCAAGTAATATGTGACGATTGAAAAGGCTTGATTAATTTTCATTTTTATACTCTAGATTAAAAAGCGCAAACTTAATAGACATTCAAACACAAGTCTCATCGCTATGCTAACAATAAGGAAAATTAGCAAGAAACATATTGAGGTTCTTCGGCGAAAAGCATGGCAAGGTGCCCCGCTAAAGCAGAATTGGAGCAAATTGTGTGTCTCGTTTATCTATATGTGATTTGATACAGCTTGAAAAGCTGATCAAGAATATATATTTTTTATTTCGGTTCGATCCTTTTTAACTGAGAAAATCTTAAAAAGCTAAAATGGCTGAAAAAAACATATTTTTATGTTAAATTTTGTATTTTTTACAAAAATTACCAAATTTCGATTCCAGTTATTTTCTGAACATTTTAAAAGTACTATATTGTGAATCAGCATGTAAAACTTGTCTCATCTCATTAGAATCGCCGAATCATTGGCTACAAAAATTATTATTTTGTTTTTTTAATTTGAATTTTAATGTTGAGAAATTTGAAGTTTCTCCCTGGTGGTTGTTAGTATGTAGCAAAAGGCAGTACCAATAGTATATGCGAAATCAGCGTTAAAATCTACATCAACTCATATATATATTTGATTGAATTTTATTTTCTGAGAAAAATTCATCTGTGGGGGACTAGGGGAAGTTTCCAGAAAATTATACCTGAGGAGAACCACAGGCCTGTTTCCGTCAGAAATATTTTTGTGCCAAACGCATACGAGTCGATGTAGATTTTAACGCTGATTCCGAATATGCTATTGGTTCTGCCTTGTGCCTTAGTTATTGTTATGAAAACTGGTCAATAAATGCACATTTTTCGTCGTTTTGCAACATAACGTTACTCTCATCCGACAGGGAAAAACTTCAAATTTCTCAACATTCAAATTAAAATTAAAAAAACAAAATGATCATTTTTGTAGCCCATGATTCGGCGATTCTAATGAGATGAGACAATTGTTTCTACCTCTTCTTACAAAAAACTAGATAGCGTTACAAGAACGTTCACTGGCGCCTGCTTTTCGTTTGATGGAGCTATCGACATGAGATAAGAAATATTTTTCTTTCTTAGGTCTACATCTAACCAAATAACATTTTGCTATTCAGTTTTACATGCTGATTCACAATATAGTACTTTTAAAATGTTCAGAAAATAACTGGAATCGAAATTTGGTAATTTTTGTAAAAAATACAAAATTTAACATAAAAATATGTTTTTTTCAGCCATTTTAGTTTTTTAAGATTATCTCAGTCAAAAAGGATCGAACCGAAATAAAAAATATATATTCTTGATCAGCTTTTCAAACTCTATCAAACCATATATAAATAAACGAGAAACAAAATTTATTCCAATTCTGCTTTAGCAGCACCTTACATCTTTTTAATGTTGAATAAGATAGCAAAGAATTATCAAATAATTGCAGAAATCTTATGTTTTCGAGAGACAGACGAACGGATACAAAGTCTATTCTATTAAAACAAGCTGGCTGAGTATAGTTTTCAAAAGTAAATAAAAATTTCATGTATGATCAAGTGGTTTTATGCATGTAGAAAAACTTGTCTATTATGCAAGTAGTAATAAAACGTAATAAAGAACGAGAGAATTTAGTTAAGATTTGAAATTTTTGACGCATACAGGACGATAAACTCATAGGCATCAACAAGGAAACATTGCACTAGGTAATCTAATCAGAACAAAAGCCGTACTTATTTGTTACCACAGTCAATTACATACTCATGAAAATATTCTTTTCAAGATTTAAATTCTAATGCTCACGAATAAATATATCATTTTATTCAATACAAATATCTAATAGTTTTAGATCTCAATTCATCTTAGTGAATTTTCTATTTCGATTCATTCATGCTTGGCCAATATAGTTGCCAATTTTCTTTTATATTTCCAAATTTCTACATAATAGACACTCATCAATCTTCACTTATATACAGTAGAATCGCTACACGAATTAACTTTCATGTTTTAAAAACTTGACAGAACATAATGATATTAGACATCACATGCATTATGAGGATAAAGCACATATATTCAAATAAATTGATGACAAAATCTTCTAACTGAGTATTTCGATTTCTAACTACGCAACCAAGAGACACGATATAGACAAAATAAAATATCTAACACGGTTGATTAGCATGCGAATGCCATAAATAGATAAAGGCCAATGGCCTTATGGAACAAACTTATTTTAGATGTCATCTTGAAACTAAATAATCTTGAATATCTTCATATATATATATATATAGTGTTATTCTCATGATAGTCAACTATTCATAATCAGGAAAAATGACAGGAAAATATAGAACAAACACTGGGGATTAGTTTATTAAGAAATTCTAAAAAAATGATTAACTTAAATCGCTAATAAACTTCATTTGCTTCAATCTTCTTACATCGTAACTGTCAAAATCTTATTATTGTATGATGAAGTGTAGAATAAAATTATAGAAGATTAAAAAAAGTTTCAAATTGAAATCTAAAGTAAAAACATTATAGATAATAATAGAGAAAATTTTCAGGAAAATAATAACTGCTTATGAGAATCTAAGAAGGATACATCAAACTATAATTAATGCAGTGAGAATCTATGAAATGAAAACCTCAACACTTAGTCATTCATTTAGAAATACTCAATAATTCTCTAAAAATTATCATCCGATTGCATATGTGAAACATTTAGACGTACTATATTCTTGAGTAGATCTAAAACTTCAATAATAATAATATTTACTAATAATTCAAAACACAACCAAGCAATATCGGAACATACTCTCGAAAACGTATGAAAAATTGTTCGATACAGTGATAGTTTAAATAGCATGCGCAATCTTGTTCGAAAATGAAATAGGAAGCTATCCATTTGGTCATGTCACCTAATATTGAAAAGTCACTTGGTAGAACATGGGATCTATATTAAATTCAGTGTTAAGGTCATTGCAATCGACATATACTGGTTTTCATTTTATTATTTTCTTCAAAGGAATTTTTTGTTTTTCGGCCTAGAAACTCTAGCCACTATATTACTTACTTTAACTCGTCTTGGATTAAGTAATCGATAATGGGGTACAGCAATATTTAAAAATCGATCGAGAGCAATAAATGACATAATGAATGATGATATAATAATAAGATTTTTCGAAAAAGAATAAAAACGACAAATTGCTGTGGGTACATCAAAATCACGATATTCCATTATCGCAATGGCTGGTACAACAATTAAACATGTCCATAGATCGACACATGCAAGAATCAGTATGAATATCACTGAAGTTGATTTTGATGAATTCCAACGATTTCCATATGCTAATAAAATAACGCCATTACCAAGTGTACCAATGACTGACACCAAAGTAAAGTAGGTTATAAGACTAATGTTAATCAATGTCGTCATAATTATTTTGTATTAACTAATAATCCACCTAAATAATAGACGAATAAAAATCTTAATAGATAATTCAATCTCAAACCTCTTCTCTAATATTATCGTATTTTGTCTTATATTCCTGACTTCTTCACTGTTTTCCTGATGTATCAGATTTAATGTTATTTTTTTACAAAATTATCAAGAGAAATCTCTTAGGTAAAGAAACAAGAGCCAAACGCGATTTCCATAGAATGTAATATAAAGATTGGTTGAAGCTAAACCCACATGGAGGAAGATTGCGCATGTTGAATAACATTTCCTACTTCTCAGTACTCAATAGCAATATGCACTTTATAATTTATGCTGACGCCATGGATTTATTTTGACAGGACGTGGTTTTTTTATCTACAAGTCTCTTTCCACTTTTATTCCATTATTCTTTTCTTTATTATTACTTACTATAAACATACTTTACTGTAAAGAGTCCTAGTAAATGTTTTACAGTAGAAAAAAAAATAGCAGGAAGAAGAAAAGAAATATATATTTACGAACCCGCACAGAATGCGATTCGCAACAAATGTATACACTACAGGAGAGCATATTTTTATAAGAAAAATAAATAAAAGAGTTGAGTAGTATTTAATCATCAATAAACGAATAATCATATCACGGTGGGATCATCAGCTTAAATGCATTAATTAATTTGAAAGAAAATATCATTTAATCGGGCTTGTATCAATTTTTTCCTCATAGGATGATCTCTTTGAATCTGACTTAATACGTTTCGTGACAACATCCATAATTATATAGTAGAAATAAAAGCTCTATTATATGTTCATTGATATTATAAAATATTTATTATTATCTAAGGAGGTTCACTTCTCATGGCAAGTGAAAATGTTTTCTAACAGTAGTGTCTCAGTACGTTTCCTTCTTTTATCTTTTGAAAACGCTTGAAAAATAATAGAACTTTCTATATTTATCTCTGAATTTGGATAGTTATAAAAATCAACTTAGAAATCAACTACGGATGTTGGGTATAACAAAAGATAAGAAACTTCTCTTTAACACGAATGACTCAACTATAATTAGCTTTTTCTAAAATACACACTCTAAAGAAATCCTACATTTGGAAACATAATGAATATGTTATTGACTTACACATGTTATTGTTTCTTGTCAGAAGACTGTGGGTCAATATAATTATTTACGAAGACATATGAATACATAAAACATATATATTCGTATTGTTATATACTACGACAAAGTATCTATTTTCTCTTGTATCTGGTCTAAGAAAAAGTACAAATTATCTATTAAGAACATAAAAGAAATGTATGCTTATAACATATGAAAGAATTCATCAGGAAGTCATACATTTTAATCAAAATATTGTTCACACATTTACAAGAAATCTTACAAACAAGAACACTAACACGTTTCATGTAAAATATACACGGAAAAATATTCTTACTAAATCTGAACCATTACAATAGAAACATAATCAATTCTGAATGAAGTAAAATATATTACTAGATAATTTTTGGATTAAACAAATAGCAACTCGATAATTGAAAAATTCATAGAATTATAATGTGAGAAAGATGATTTAGGGGGTATTTTTTTTTTGTAAAAGAGAAAAACAGTCTAAAAAAATGCCAAGATAATCAAACAATCGCATATTGACAATATATGAGTCATATTTCATTAAAGACAGAGAAAAAAAAACATTTCACGACTTATTATGTTAGTGAATCAAACTATAACATATAACACTATTATGATGAATATAAGTGAAAAAAACACAGGAAAGAAAGAGCGAGTACAATGAGAAGAGCGTCAGTAATTATTCGTGCGTTCATAATAAATCTCACAGAAAAGAAATAAGAGAAATATACCGATTTTTTTTTATAAATTAAACAAACAAAATCTTATCAAGTTCATCTTCTTCTTATAAGTACACATCATTCCAAAATATGACATAGTCAACTCACAATATTTAATGGGTGACTTACGTTTCGTTTCACCTCTTCAGAACACCCGTAAATGTTACCAGGTGTTCGGAATAGAGTATTTTTGCTATATTTAATGTGTCACCTGGAGATTGTAATAAACACCGTCGATAGTTCGGAAGGAAAATCTAAGGGTACTTAAGCGTGGGGTATGTAAAAGAATTTGCAAGGATATTGTAATTGATATAAAGTCTTTCTACTCTTATAGACAATAATAGTTTGCCTTTTTGATTACATCCATGATTATATAAATAGATGATTAATTTTTCTTCACCTATACTCCTTGTGCTATAGTCTCAGAAGTTGTTTCTAAGGGTATCAGTTGATTAAAAACCAACAGCTGCCGAAAGCAACAACTGAACAAGCTGCTCCTAAATCTTGTTTACGTTCAACTCCAATATTGAATCGTCCTAGACTTAGATCCAGCTATTCATCTCAATCTGATCTCATTGCTTCAACATCGAAAAATAAACAAATAGCCAGGCTCAAAAAGCGTGTACATTCATCGAAGAATAAATAGAATGATGATGTACATTAACATTGGAGTCATGAGTATATATGTATTTATTTTCTTTCAATAAAGCTAGTATCTTGCAACAGAAAGTATTGAAGGAATAAGGAGAAATATACCTAATACTAGAGTTATTATAGTAAACAGAAGTGCAATCGTAGTTGCTTGAATCCGTCGAAAAGTTCACTATACGTGATTTTAGGTTACGACTATAGCGTATCATTTCATATTTTCTCACAGAGAAACAAAACCTGAACATACTTGCGAAAATCGTGTCGTTTTTTTCTTTTATTACAGTTTCCACGTCTTTGCCATTTCGAACATCCGGACATTCTGATTACGATCTCCAGCCAAATTTTGATGTTCGTAAAGAGAAAAATTTACATGGAGTTCGGAATCAATTCTGAAAATAGCTTTTTCAATGGTTATATCCTATGAAAAAGCTATTGTCAGAATTGATTCCGAACACCATGTCCTTTTTTTCATGTCAGGAGATCGTAATCAAATTATTTTATCGGAGTTCGTAAAACAGAGATGAGACGAAGTGTCATGTTCCCGATTCAATTAGCAATGAGATAGACAATAGGTATTTTATAATCGAAATCTATATTATGTTTAGTGTTTTTTGATATAGTACAGATATAGTTTTAATCGGACACTATTAATCAACTCAGTCATTACTGTCGTTAATCGTCTATATCTATCTTTGTTTACATCAACATAATTAATGCTACGATCAATGTTGCTTATTTTCTTGCGAAGTTTCTAAATGAGATTACTCAAACGAATAAAAGATAAAAATTTACAATAAATCTATTTAATCATCGGACATCTAAATCATCAATTATAAAAGTCTAAAGAAAGCATAAGATTTTCATGTTAATTGTTGTTAACTGAAGAGTAGAAATCTTCGACACTATTACTTATTCAAGCCTAATTCAATAGAGAAAAACAACATCCTAAATTGAAAAACATTATGATTTCATTACATATATTTAATTCTCGCAGCACGTCGCAATATTTTTTTTTATCTCTTTCGTGATTGTTGAGTATAGTTATATAGAGAATTATCTCAAGTCTTCATCATTCTCTAATATTCTGTTTGGTAGATTTTTTTTGTACATCTGTGATGTATCATTTTTGCTATATTGATAAGAAATATGCTTTATCAGCAAAAGATAACGGTAGAATGTACGAGAGGAGATCAATGAAATAAATCAAATATAAAATTTTTCAGTGACGAAGAGGAATACTGTCAATTGGTTGAAATATAATTTGAAGAATTTAAATATTACAACTTTTAATATTTCATAAAATGAAGAATTTCTTTTCAAGTAGTGATATTTTTCTGCTTAAGAAACATAATTAATTGTGCATAATATATCAGTAAAAATCAATCATACTAATTATTCAGTAATTCTCTAAGAAAATCTATTGAGAATATTCAGAAAGATAATTACTTTGACCTATTTAAATATTTTATAAAGATAAACTCGAGATAGACTAAAATCTGAAAGAAATCGAGTGAACCATTTACTTACGTTTTTCTTTACCATTAAAATACAGTCCTAATTCAGTGATAAAAATGATGAATTTCTTGAATAACGCACTGAGATACCCTGTATACTCTTGCAAGTAAAGTAATAATATTGAGCTAGTTGCAATTATACTATAGAAAAAGATATCTACGTTTAAGTCATGTTAGAAATAACAGCAAAAGCAGATGCACATTTTTTTTCTATAATCTTCAATTTTTAATAGGCTCTTAGTCCATTTACTACGACAATAAAAGAGTCATACTTGAGCATCCATTAAGCATTCATTTAAAGAGAAAAAAGAAAAAGAAGAAAAACCGAGAAGAAAATGGAAGAGAAAAGATAGATAGAAGCGCTAATGTCACTTGTTTATATTTCTCTTTTGTTTAGCATCTCGTATGCGCGAATGACTATCGAGGATTATGGAAATCTATGATAAATAACACTTGGAGTGAGTTATGACAAACCAATATTTCTATTTTGTTCTGTCTGTAGTACGTTCAAAAAATGCATTCAGACGAGCATTAAACAGCTTATAATTCTATCAATTCGGGATAAAAATAAATATATTGGCTTACTCAATTCAATTTGGATATCAACAAACAAATTATCTTTAAAGAAAATATTTCGTCTAGAATGAGATAGATAGACAAGCAGAAAACCAACAGAGGCTATCTCTCAGCAAAGTAATGATGAAACTTCCCGCATAACGTCCTTGACGATAACGACAACAAAAACCCATCCAGGACTCAAAGTATAATTCAGTCTATTGTATATTTGACATGACAGCACGATTTGTTATTTTTCTTCTTGTTTTCATCTTAGTATTGCCCTCTTGTTCTCTCTCGCTCTCTCTCTTTCAGAGTCTAAGACAGCAGGCACCTTCTGTTCATGTCATACATAATTTGTTTTTATTCAGGCAATTCTCAGGTGCGTGTAATTCAAACTTAGCACAAGTTTTATTTTTTG